AAAGTACAAAAGTATTAGCATCAAAATATACTTAAAGTACCACCTGCAGAGGGATCTAGATTCAGGTGTTCTTTTCCCCATAGAGACCGCCTCGCTGCACATTATCCCTTGCATAAAGATAGATTGTGGGTCCCTTATAACATGTTGTACACAGTAGAAATAAACATTCTGGTCACCTCAACATCAGGGATCTTATCCATTAAACTCCTTCTGAATCAAACCGTCACGGTAGCCTTACCTTACTGATCCCTCTTAAATTAGAAAAACACACGTTACTTTACCAGCAGAGAGAAAATGGATTATTAAATTATTAATGTGACTAATAAAGAGCTGTTTGATTATTAAGTATTATTCTGTTGATCGATGTCATTACATTTAGTGAAAAACACATAATGACTTGTTTATGACTCGTTTTGTCAAAGTTTAGGACTTGACTTGACTTGAACTTGCCCATCCTGACTTGAGACTTGACTTGGACTTGCAAAACAATGACTTGAGACTTGACTCGGACTTGAGCGCAAAGACTTGAGACTTGACTCGGACTTGCAAAACAATGACTTGGTCCCACCTCTGCTAGCTACACAGACCCTTGTAGATAGATGCATGATATGCCAGCAGACAAGAAGAAGAAAAGGTCCAGTTCAGCATGAACATTTACCGCCCCCCTCGGGGCCCTTTGTAAATATGCAAATTGACTTTTCGCACATGCCACCATGCCAAGGATTCAAATATCTTTTGGTAATAGTGTGCCAGTTCTCCAAATGGGTAGAGGCCTACTCTACCAGAAAAGAAGACGCCAGAACAGTTGTAAAGTGTCTTCTCAAAGATGTTGTCCCTAGATTTGGTGTTCCAGCAGGGATTAACAGTGACAGAGGTCCAGCATTCATTTCTAAGATAACCCAGAGTCTAGCTACAGTGTTAGGGTTCAAATGGCAATTGCATGTTCCCTATCATCCACAGAGCTCAGGCCAGGTTGAGAGAATGAACTTGACTATAAAGGAAAAACTCACTAAAACAATGTTGACCACAGGACTAAAATGGGTAGACGCGCTGCCGCTAGTTCTGTGCTCAATCAGAAACTCACCAAATGCAACGACAGGGCTTAGCCCACACGAAGTATTGATGGGAAGGCCAATGTTCACAGGATCTAGTCCTCCAGTAATGCCCCACAGACTCACTCTTTTGTGGACAGAGGATTACATGACTAACTATGTCAAATATCTAACTGACATGTTGAGAAAGTTTCACAGGCAGGTGGCTGACAGGCTCCCCCAGCCTGGTGAGGAGCCCACCCACCCTTTTCAGATTGGTGATAATGTACTAATCAAATCGCTTGAAAAAGATTCTTTGTCTCCCAGGTGGAAAGGTCCTTTCCAGGTATTAATAGTGACCAGAACAGCCCTGAGAGTACAAGGTAGAGCGGAGTGGATTCACGCTTCAAGATGTCGTCTCTCTCCTCTACCGGATGCTGGCGTGTGAAGGCAGTCACCATCATCGTCATTCTGGGTTTACTGTACCTGGCCAAGAACGCCCTGCTAGATGAAGCTGTGACAATCCCAACGACAGGTGGCGAGGGACCTCGCCCATCTGAGGGAGAAAATAAGGTGCTCTTATCTAAGAGCGCAGACGACTTGACCACTCAGGGTCCAGACCCTGAGGGCAAAACAACACCAACGGGCAAAGAAGTGCCTAGCGACAAGGACAGGTTGTATCCAAACACCACACAGACACTCAGTATGGTGCAAGAGACACAAAGAGAGAGAAAAGGAGGGAGAATAAGGAGGATTGTCTCCCTCCCTGATCATAAGTCAGAGACTATTGCCGTTAACTGCCCAAGTTCAATATGTGACTCATCTAACTGTATTATTGTGTTTCCTGTGTTCTCAGTTTACTCAACATGGGAGTTATATCCAGAAAACCAGTACTCTCGGTTCATGGTCGCACCAGAGGGGGTAAGGATGGATCTTAACACCATCGAAGAAATGCCCCCAGAACTGTGGTGTAGCACGATAGAACAGTTCGAGGCACTGATAAGGAAGGAGGTAAAATGTACAGTGCGGAAGCCAGATTACCGCATTCCCAATCTAGGTGATACTGCATGCACAGTTACTGGACCAAATAGCAAAACAAATGTTCCATCTACTCCACTTAAACAATCAGGAGGCGAGGTAGATTCTTCAAAAAAGGCCTTAATTACTCCTTATAAACAAACTAAAACTAATTCTGCAGTAAGTTTAATGTTAGACTATGCACATGAACGTAATGTTAGCAACTGTTGGTTGTGCCAAAATATGCCAGAATCAATGCATTCTCCTATGTTTAGCCCAATTCCTTTCACAAAAGCTGATTACGGTTTAGTAAACTGGAATGACATAGCATCTAGAATTAGCGATGAGGCTGGGGATTGTTACACTCCTTCCTACCCAATAGACTCTGAAAAACCTTTACAGTACAAGGGCTTAGTCTCTCTCATTGTTGATACAGTAAATAAAGATTACCTGCCTGACGGTTTCAAACGTTTGATGTTTTTAAAACTAATATATATGAAGAAATACGTTAACCTAGCTTTTGAATATAGATTCCAGTTAGCTCTAGCTCAGACTAATTGTTCAGCTAACTTTACAAGTCCAACATGTACAATGCAACCACACACACCCGCTTTGTTAGTGGAAGCGTTGGTAACAGTGGTGCCCTGGTTCGGCTCTAGGACAGTGGACTCCGTTGAGGTTAAAATACATGACTGTACGCAGCCAATACCCTTAGGCAAGCCCCCACACGTGACTGCTCAGTATATGTCCCCCCAATTGTTGTACATGAATGGAAGAATGTGTCCATCTGTTTCCAGAATGGAGTAGGATCTCACACCTCTCCTGATGTGGGACACAGCGACTGTAATGCCATAGTGAGAGTACATATAGCCAGAATTCCCCTCCCACAGAGAGTTTACTTAGTTTGTGGGGACCGGGCCTATGGATGTGTGCCATATGATGTTTTTTATGGTACCTGTTATCTAGCCTACCTAATCCCTTTAATCCGTAAAGTAGAGGCTACTGAGATTGCAGCAATACTTCCCTCTCTACACAGGAACAGCAGGTCAATTACACAAGGACAACAGATAGCTAGCCTATTCTTGCCTTGGTACGGTATTTATGTTACTCAGCAGGAAATTGTCGCATTGTCTAAAGTGGTAGAACATCATTTAAATGTAACCAACACAGCGATGTTAGCTGAACACAAAGAATTGCAGGAAGTTAGGACAGTAGCACTACAGAATCGTATGGCGCTTGACCTCCTCTTAGCGGCCCAAGGAGGAACATGCAAGGTGATAGGAAGTGAGTGCTGTTCTTTCATATCTGATGCCACACCTGAAGTTATGGACATGGCTCATGATACTGCCAGGGGAATAAAATAATGGGTTTACATTTGGGGAATTAAGTGGAACTTTTGGATCTTGGGGAGCGGGGCTGGTTAAATTTGTTGTTACTGTTTCAGTGTTTATCTTGGTTGTGCTAATCCTAGTGATCTGTTTGATCACTGTAGTTAAATTAGCCATACGAAGGGTTGCCAAGACTGCCCTCCAGGCCCCACAAAGGCTAGTTGGACATTCAACTGTACAGGACACAATATTAATGTACAATGCCGAGCTTCCGGACCCCTGGGTCTCCATCGTGATCTCCGACCCGTGGGTACCTCCATTCAACGATTGAGATGTTGTTTAAAGTTGATATTCTGAATAAAGAACAGATGTTTTGATAATTGATTACAGTTGATACACTGGATTAAAGGACAAATGTCTGATTTTTCCTTTGCAGGTTGTGATACAAATAAAATGTCTGATTTTCCTTTTCAGATTTTGAACAAGTGTATTTGAATGAAATAAATGTATTACTAAGTGCCTTACTCTTGAATAAAGCGTAATGAAGTAAACGTAAAGTAATGTTAAAGATTGAGGACACTGTAACTTTACAGTTTACAGATTGATCGATTCATCACTGCGAATTTATACCTTAAACTAGGAACCTTAGCTGGATCTCTCATGATTCTGATTTATACCTCAATTGGATTTCTCATAATCCTAAATTATACCTCAATTGATTTCTTATAATCCTAAATTCTAATTGTGTTTTTTAATAAGTAATTGCCTTAAAGTAAATCTTTAAGATGTAAGCTGATTTAGAATCTTTGTTTGATGAATGAGATTAACAGAGTGATAAATGATAAAAGATCTTATTTTTGAAACATATATTTTGCTATAATATTTTGTACCCCATGTGTTTATTATTGTACCTTTTGACAAAAATGCCAAGCACTGAAGAGAGATGATTTTTATTATGATTGACTGTGTTCAATCATGGTGATTGAAGTGTTTTTCAATCTTGTTCTATTTTTAATGTAATGAATGTATCTGAGCCCACCCAACTCTGAGGACGCCTATTGATTTTAAGTATTGACTGAAATATTCTTAGACTAATGTTAATTGGTTATCAATAGATTGATAAAAAGAGTGAATCTGTAAGAGAATATTTTAATCTGATCTGTTTATAGAATCTCTTATTATTCCTTAGAGTCTGTGATACTGCAAACATCTGCTTGTAGTCACTCAAAGACTCCTCTGTAGGTTGAGGTCACAGGTCAAACACTTCTCCTATATCCATGGGGGGTTTGAGACCTGGCAGGATCTCTTTGAGACAAGCAGACCATTGTCTCGCATCGGCTATTGATTATACGCGGGCTTTCTGGAAGCCCGCCTCTCCTCGTGTTGGTTAGATGTTTTGTGTCTTTTGGTTCAGAGATCGCTGGTGGAGCACTGGACATGTGTGAAACTAAGATGATCTCCCGGCCGTTATTGTCTGTACTTTCTCCAATAAAACTCTTCAGTGCTTTTGGCTAACAACGGTTCCAGACTCCTTCATTCTACCTCAACATTGCAACAACAGAAGTTTACCTTCACACCCCCTTCTATCCCCTTCTCATTTCGTTTGTGAACTGTCTTGCCCTAGGCTTAAAAAAACAAGGACATAGCCCACCCAGACTACACACCCTCGCTGTTCCCACATAAAAAGACAAAGTCCAAAGGCTGGGGAGGGAGGGCTTCAGATGTGCATATTGTAAGGAACTCAGACTTCTTATCTCAGAAGTTCCACCATGCAGGAGATCAGGTAACAATTGAACTGTTTTTTTTTTTCTAATTTAAGTCTTATTTGTGAATTTATTATTTACCCATAGTTACCATTTTTGAGTTGCTGTTGAAGTAAAGTAGTGTTTTTAAGTATTCGTTATGTTTATTTCAGATTTTAGCTGACAGGGGCTTCACTTTGAAGGATGACTTTGCTGTTCTGGGTGCACAGCTCATCACACCGTCTTTCACGAGGGGCCGAAAACAACTGTCAGCCGAAGATGTTGCAAATTCTCGTGTGACTTCGAACATCAGAATTCACATTGGTAAGTATAGAGTCAGCAGTCAGATTCATACAGTATGTACATTTGAATGTTTTTGGTATTCAGAGTGTGCTGCATCATCAAATCACTGTTGCTACTTGCCGCTGACGTGGTTCACATTTCCCTAACTAAATTAATTACTGTAACAGATCCGGGTTAACAAGTGCTGAGACGTTATTCAATTAATCACATCAACGAGTACATGTGTAATCCCTACTTTGTAGGGTGTCTTCAGATAACATTTTATCTTTAACATGTTATTCTATATTTAAATACATTGAACTGTTGTTCACATTTAGTGCAATATCAAGAGAACAGGATAACAGGAAGTTAACAGGGATCTTTCTTCACTTTAACATGAAAAAGAAACACTAATTATAGGACACAATGCACTGACGATATGATATAACGGTCAACTGTGCTACTCCTGTGAAACTCGAACATAACAATGTAGATAAACAGCATGTTAACAACATGTGATCTGTGGTCTGCAGAGTCATTGGTGCCCTGAAGAGCCGGGACCACATTCTGGATGGCCCACTTCCTCTGCGCCTGGTGAAGAGACTGCAGGATGAGAGACAGAAGAGAGAAGAGGCCATGATTGATAGGATTGTGCATGTCTGTGCAGCACTAATGAACCTGTCTGGCAGTGTCATGTACAACCGTTACAGAATCTGAGAGTCAGAACAAAATCAATGTGCAGTCATTTAATAATGAGCATCAGAGAACAATATTTTATGCAACTTTTTTATACAATAAAGAAGTCATTATTGTTCCAATTGTGCCATTTAGCAGGTTTCAGTGACATAATGGATCTTTCTAATCAAAACCACCTGTTGTTTGTCTTTCCACAGGTCCCTGAACTGATCTCAGTGCTGCTCTGCTGCTGCACACCCTGCCACCCTGCCTCTGATGCCTGTCACCCTGCCTCTGATGCCTGATGCTCTGCCTCTGATGCCTGACGCTCTGCCTCTGATGCCTGACGCTCTGCCTCTGATGCCTGACGCTCTGCCTCTGATGCCTGACGCTCTGCCTCTGATGCCTGTCACCCTGCCTCTGATGCCTGTCACCCTGCCTCTGATGCCTGTCACCCTGCCTCTGATGCCTGTCACCCTGCCTCTGATGCCTGACGCCCTGCCTCTGATGCCTGACGCTCTGCCTCTGATGCCTGTCACCCTGCCTCTGATGCCTGACGCCCTGCCTCTGATGCCTGACGCCCTGCCTCTGATGCCTGACGCCCTGCCTCTGATGCCTGACGCTCTGCCTCTGATGCCTGTCGCCCTGCCTCTGATGCCTGTCACCCTGCCTCTGATGCCTGATGTTCTGCTGCCACTTGTGTTGCCTGATGGGTCACTCCCTGTGCTGCTTTCGACTGGACTGTGTTCTGCCTACTTAGCAGAAACATATGCAGTGCTTATCATGAATGAGTTCACCCCCTTTGAAAAGAACACAAGAACAATATTTGATTGTGTACATATAGTCTAGTATTCTATGTTGATACTGAATGAAATAGCTATAATATGCTTCAAAGTGAATTGGTATAAATAAATATGTAACTCTGTCACAGTGACTTATTTGTTGCCATTTTTACACTGATAGGAAATTCAACCACCTACCTGTGCATCTTTCAGCTCCCGAAGTTTGTGTAGTATGTGTTGTGACCAGTGTTGGGACGTTACTGTAACGCCGTTATTTTTGGCAGTAACTAGTACTCTAACGCATTACTTTTTTAATTCAGTAACTACAGTAATACCGTTACTACATGGTGCGTTACTCCGTTAGTTTTTTTTATATAGTCAACAGCCAGGCGAACAGAGATGAGAACTGTACTTAAGTACAGTACTTGAGTAAATGTACTTAGATACTTCCTGTGTCACATGCGGAGACGCGCTGTGGGCGTGTTTGTGTTGTTTACTAACAAGACTATCATGGCGGCGGCGGAGCTCAAGTCTAGTTTCTCCACCTGGAGATATTCTCACTATTTCACTTTTGTCGAGCACAAAGAAAAGAAAGTTTCTGTTAAATGTAAGTTGTGTCCTGGCGGGTCAAAGAGCCTATCTACTGCCCAAACCAGTCATTCAAATCTCTTAAAACATCTGCAAAAACAACATGCTGGGACGAAGCTAGTAACTAAGACCACAGAGACTCAGCCGACGCCACTCCACCTCCACCTAAGCAACAGCGGCTGGATTTTAACCGAGGGACTGCTGGCCAGGGAAAAGTCGATAAAGCCATTGCACGGTATGTTGTAGAACACATGCAGGCTATTGCTACAGTGGAGTCACCCGCTTTCAGGGAGCTAGTTAGCATGATAGCATGTCCGGGCGGCACACGGCATATGGGACGGAAAACTTTTTACAACTACCTGGAGAAAGAATATACAAAAATGGAAAGCCAGCTAATATCGATGCAATCCAGATTGCATATAAGGCATGTCAAGTTGATCAACAGATTGTATTATTCTCCAATGCAATAACAGTACTGAAAGGAAGGCTATAAGGGCATTCATGGGAGCAATTTTTTTCAAAGTAACGAACACGTTACTTTTCAAAGTAACGCATTACTTTTTTGTGTAAGTGACTAGTAAAGTAACTGAGTTTCTTTTGAAATGAAGTAACTAGTAATGGTAACTAGTTACTGGTTTTCAGTAACTAGCACAACACTGGTTGTGACCAAAATGTTTGCATCACATTAATGGCACCACTGATGAAGTCCTCATCTCTTTGTACTCTGAATATCAGGCAGGTCTGAGGAGTCCAAGTGATGAAGTCTGCATACATCCGTTTGGTAACAAACATCTGCATTTGGACCTGTCAAATGCAATCAAATGCAATGCAATCATCATAACACTAATATGTACATTATAGACAGTATGCCATCCGTGGATAATTATCTTGGATAATTGCACAAAATGCTCCAGACTTATTAGAGGTGTGCAGGTATATGCAGGTGAAATATTGAAATACCTGAGTGACATATGCATGACTTCTCTTTAAAGGGATAGTGGAAATCCGCGAATTTTAGGTTTAACTTATGTATTTTTATTAAAAATAAGCATAATAAACAATTTTTTTTTATTTCATGCGCCTAGTTTCATTTTATTTTCAATTTTACTGCGCCCTCTCAATGAAACGAAATACTTCGGGAATCGTCGGGAATCTTCGGGTGATGACGAGAGCATAGGAAGACGGGCACAAACAATGGCGGACATTCAATAGCATTTGCATGTGAATAACCGACCTTTATTATGGTGAATAGATGTGTTTTGTATGGCTGTAGTGCGACAGAAAAATTCTACGTGACACAACGACATTGGATTAACCTTGAGATGCGTTTTTATTCCGTTGAACACAACTTTTGATCACAAATCAAAAAAGGTAAGACGTAATTATTGTAATATTTTTGGAACCCGGATGTTGTTTACTTTCTCTTTTCTGGCTGATAGCTCCAGGAATTCGAGGTCTTACAGTGATGACATTACATGTGTGGAATCTGTGGAGTCTCAGCTTTAAATCGTATATCTTGTTTGTGCAGTTAAGATAGTAATAAGGGCATTTCTACCGTGTGTTGTGTGTAAAAAAGCGTTAGCATTAGTTAGCATTGTTTCGCTCAATGCTAATTCAAAGGCTTGGTATTACTCTTGTGTTTTTTCTAGCTAACAATTGTTCTTATTGTCAGTTAGCGGAGTTTCTTACCTTTAAAAGGGTATGAAACATTAATAGTTTCATAAATGTTAAGAAGCCCTGAGACATGTGAGAGAAAAAAAACTGTGGGAGGGGTCCACTGGGGGGACCTTCGGGCTTAACTGGTTAACAATGATTAATATTTGTAAAGGCTACAGGTGATCTTAAGATGCGTGAGCTATGCTTAGGGACCTACCAGTCAAGATTATTTGTGCGTAGGGGTGCATCATCTGGCGCCTGGTCCTGGTCATCCTCGCCATTGCCCATGCCGTGAACCATCACCTCGGGCTCGGGCTCGAACAAATAAGGACGTAATGGTCCATCGTCTGGCTCAATATTGTCACCATCGTCGCTTACTGAACCAGATTCAGATTCAGTTCCTAAAACGACATTTTCGTAGGAAAGCCGAGAGGATGTTTCTGACTCGCTGTCATCACTGGATACCTCGTACAATCCTTCTTCTTTGTCTGGTATATTTGCCCTTCCACGTTCATTCTGCATAGACGCCATGGTTTGTTATCGTATCGTCTTCCTGAGTTTTCGTCACTTCCGGTTTGGCTGAGTCGAACATTTCGATTCTAAAAAACTTCGGGGAAGCTGCAATAAAGTGCTTCTAACATGCGTAAGGCAATTATTATATTTTTTTTAATCAGGTGTGATTGTTTTGGTACGTAATTATGCTTGTATATAAGTTAAAACGAAACTATTTGAGGTTCCATTTCCACTATCCCTTTAAGCTTGTCAGACTTTCCAGATGTCCTCTTTTGTCCTCAAGCCACTGTTGGTACCCAGTAGAGGTGTCTTGCCCCCACCTGTAAGGACACTTAGCCTCTATAACACCCTCACCACAGCAGTCACAGGAAACATAGCCATCACATGAAACCCACAGGTATGGCATAGTTTGGCAGATGCGGAAGCCAGCCTTTGCGGCTTCTCTGTCACCCTCCAGGATGGCTTTACATCACATCGGAACAGGTAGGTATCCGATGAAGGTAGTTTATGATGGAGCACAACTCCAACAAAGCCACTTGTAAAAAAGTTGTGTGCCTCCAGGGACCGATAGTTCTTTAGGCGTGTGTGTGTAAATCCCTGCGTGATAACGTACCGAGTCGTCAATAACCAATATGTATATGCAGCTCATGATGGCTATTGTGCAATAACAACCATTGTGTGATGAACAAATTCACTAAAACGTGCTAATTTCCTTGTTAGACATATAAATTATGTGAGGTTTAATTAATCAGTTAACGTGATTTTGCCTCTTACCGGGTGATTCAACCAGGTAGCAGAAGATATCCGGGAATGAAACTTCAGGCCATTCAGTCGGATCATTCGTCCACTCTTTAATAAGATATGGACAATAATCCGATCCTATTAAATACAAAATGTTAAGGTATCTATCCCTGGAAATGGGCTGCAATGAATCAATGTATGACATGTTTGTTTAACATTTAAAATCCGCGCGCTTACAGTGCTCCGGGCGAGGGGGAAAGGATTGTTTTCCCCCTCGAAATGCCCCGCCCCCAACTGTGACGCGTCACCGACTGTATGTGTGGCTGGCGTCTATGTCACGTGATCTTCAAATTTCTCCCTGCAGAAAAAAAAAACATGGCCGAACTTCGTTTTATTCTCGGTGGAAAATGCCTATTTTAAAGTTAGTTTGGCCATTAATATGCGTTTTGATGTCATTTGATGCGAGAAATATGAGTTGTTATTTCAGATTATGTGTACAGTGGATGTACATGATCTTTAGTTTGCTAGTTATTACGAAGATTACTTCAGGAAGTTTTCATTCATTTCATATCGATATTATTTCTGTTATGTTGTGTAACTGTTTAATGGTGTTATCTTTATTGCTACCCCCTTCCCCGTCAATGTATAGTGTTGGTCCACAGCGCAAACATATTAGTTTAACAAAATCCGCATCTAAAGATAGCCTACGTTATTTCCCCTGTGCAATTCCAGTCTCACATCTCACAGCACATCGTCATTAACTAATACCGGAAACAGACCGAAAACATTTTTTTAAATAATAATAATACTACTTTATTCCGAGTGTGCTTGCTTTTCTCTTTGAAAGTCATCACATAACGGCATTGTAATACACGGTTCGGCTGCATTAAATATTACATATCTGCCGTAGTTCTGTATTTATAGAGCCCTGATGAGAAGACTTCTAGACAAACATGAGGAACTGAAAACGTGACGTGGATCATAAATATATCAGCCATTAAACAACATCTTACATTTATTTTCACACAATACGTCTCCTTGCAGTATCAACACTAATTCGGCTGACTTTTATATTTGATCCAATTGGTAGATAGACTGTATTTACACCATAAAGGTGCACAGCTGATATAAAGGGACACCTAGTGGTTAAAGCATGTTATTGAATTTCATTATTTTTATTATTAGATATTAATAGGATCCCTATAAAGTATATTCATTACTCGTTATTCTCTACTAATAGTTAATTAAAGACTGTATATAATGACTATTTTGCACATCCCTTTCAAGATTTCAAGATTTTCTAAGGTTTATTGACATATCATATAGGCCCACACAACTATGGTGTAGTTATGCATTGAATGAAAAACTTGGGTCGCAGGTTCCTCAATAGTGCATTACAAGACATCTATCAATATTTGTGCATACCTCCAGCAATGTTAACTATGTTGAAGCACTTATTTTAACTGATATTATACATAATGTATTATACTCTTATAAGATCTATGTAGATATTTAATCTCCGGCCTTGTCAGGTATTGAACAATCAATAAATAAAGAACACAGAATTGTTAAATATAAAACACAGAATTTGTGTGATTATACTAAATGATTTACAAATAAACACCACTGCATACAACTGTTACACATGCTGATGTAACGCAAATGTTCCAACTTGGGATCAATAAAGTATATCTTATCTTAAGCTGATCGATGGCTACTGCCATATTTGCAAAATGTGCCTCTGAACCTTGACAAGTGCATGTTTCAGGCTTATCAATTAATGTAATGTAATGTTATCAATTAACAACAGGGGTCACAAACATAAGACCAGCTGTTAAATAAAGCTCTTCTGACCTTAGCTGGCATGTGTGTATATATATATTAATGCTGCCCATTATGGGCACAAGCAATTTTCACCCATTTATTAATTATATGTTTTAAATTTGAGTGTTTCCTACCCCCTAAACCTCCAGGGATGTACACAGTTTAATACGGGCAACTTCTTATTATGGGAAATATGAAAACGTCTTTTAAAACTACAACTCCCAGTAGAGACGTGCTATAGATAGAGAACATGTTGAGAAACAGAATAGCCAGCATGTGTAGTTCTGGGGACGGGGTGGGGGAGGGGGGGACGCGGTGGACCCGTTCAAATCCAGTTTTGGACAGTCTGCCGTGGTTCCATCCCATTTCAAGTGCTGTTCGAGGCTCGGTAACCCTCGGAGCACACTCTCCAATCACAGAGCTTGAGGACTATCACGGGGTTTGTCAAACAGAGCACATGGTGTAGTCCTAAACGATAGCTGGGGATTCTGGGTAGTGTAGTTCTGCTATACTTTACTCCGAAAAAATATTTGTTTCTCCGAATCGAAGGGGAAAAATACAAAAGCATTGCACACAATTTAAACCAATCAATGTTGTGTAATTAACAAGGATAATCTGGTGTTTTTTAGTCGATGAGTAGTGCAGATATCACTGTAAAATCAATCGACAGTCAATCGACAGTAAGGGGAATACTTACTTCCGGGTGTACAATTCTCCGTTATCCAATGAGAATGGACGCTCACATTGCCTTTAAGGGCAGCCGACACAAACGAATGCCGTGCTTCCATGAGCGTCATTACCAGTAGAAATACATTGCTTTTAAAATCGTGCTGTCCAACACGAAAAAAAGGGGAACATCGTGTTGGTGAACATGAATCAATAGATTAAAAATCGTTTTGGTGAACACGAAATGCCATGAGACTGGGTTGCATTATATGCCGCTCTGCGCTTGTCCAAATCTGCGCTGTAGTCAGGGAATATGAAAATCTGGGTGTCACCCAGACCTAGCTTGCCTTTCTGACGTGAGAGTTTCAGTATTTCCTCTTTCACTTGAAAAAGATGAACTTTACACAGGAAGGAGCATGGGCGCTCTCCGTCTTTAGGTCGGGAAGCGGGTACACGGTGAGCACGGTCAAGTACCGGTGCTTTCTCCAGTCCGGTAAAACAATTCGTGAAGCATGTTAGAGATGAACGTAGTAGAGTTGCCTTGTTCAACACCTTATGGTATTCCAACAATACGTAGATTGCAACGTCTCCCTCTATTCTCCAGGTCATCTGTTTTCAATTGTAATTTAGCATTGTCTTTAGCTAGCTGAGTACTGCGGGCTTCCAGAGAGTCAATCCGGGCGGCCAGGGTGATCAGCAAGTTGAGTCTTACATTCATCCAATGCAGCTCTTACTGGTGCAATTGCAAGCTGGATGTCTGTCTTGAGCGAGGAAACTTCATCCTGAATCACTTCCCTTACAATTCTGCGGATGTCCTCTAGCATGTTGTTGCATTGATCCTTAGCCTCCCTCAACCATGCTACTGGTTAAGCTAGCAGTCGTCTTGTTCACCTTTGGACAGAGATGGGGACTCGAGTCTGTGACTCGGACTCGAGTCGCACTTAAGTCGCACACACAGAGACTTCAGACTTGACTTGGACTCCTGCTCAAAAGACTTCAGACTCGACTTGGACTCGTGTTTTGGGACTCGTGAACAATCATTGTGTTTTCTATTTTTGGCGTATTAAAGGTGGGGTAGGTAAGTGTGAGAAACCAGCTCGAGATCGCTAGAATTTGAAAATACACAACCGGAGAAAATCTGCCACTTCCTTACAGAGCCCCTCCTCCAACACACACGAACGCGCACATGAGGGCACGAGATAAGTTTGTGCCCCGATGGGAGGCTGACAGGCAGGTAGGCCATCCAGTTATTTTAGCCGGGCCGGCTATCGGGATGTTAAGAGCATTCCATGGAATATAACAAAAAGTGTATCTCGAGCCGGTTTCTCAAATGTACCTACCCCACCTTTAACATTAACATCATGGTAACACCATGGCGACCGGCGGCACACCTGCAGCTGTACCGCTTGCAGGTTCAACTATAAAAACTTCGAACAAAAACGCCGGCGGCACCAACAAAAGGAGCGCACACTGCAAAGTCTGCAATATTAAAATCAAGGATGCTGGTGCAACAACGTCAAATTTCATCAGGCACTTGAAAACTCACCCGGAGAGGTCAGTCACATTAACGCATATGGACGGTTAGCAAACATGTTTAGCTCAGCATCAGCTATGTAATGTTAACTTAGCTTGCTACTAGCTTTGTAACTGAATATTTGAAAAGATGAGTGAATGTTTGCTTGTCACACTTGTTTGCGTTGAGTGGCGTTGACATCCAACTCTTGACATGACATAAAAAAGGTCGGTAACGTTAATCATTACGTTCCGCTGCCACCATCTACTGGCTAACGTTAAACGTAGAAAAATACATAGTTACATACATAAATACATCTGTCGGTTTATAGGCAGGTTACAGGTTTATTGTTGACCACGTAACGTTAATGTTACAGGTTTATCAGGTTACCATTACACTGGGTTTGAGTGAGAGGATAGAGGAATATGTTTATTTATAGTAGACTTAAAAGATGTCATTAGAGACCCAGTGTAATTAAACAATACGGTTGCAGAGGTCACATTTTAACATTTTTGTCCACTGGCCAAATGGCTAGCCTAGTGAATGTTGAAATTTTACCAGCCACTCAATAGATTGCCATTGTTATTTGTGGCTGGTGCGTGCAACATACAGTACCAGCCACTTGCATGATTTACCAGCATTTGGCTGGTAAATGGTGTTAATGGTAGATATCTCTTTTGGAACAGGTCATGTTTTAATATCACCAGTTCAGTATATTTCAGATAATATTGCAGCAATAGTTGTTTAGTTGCAAATGGCACAGAACAAATGTTTACTTTGAAGTACTTTTAACACAGTTTCCCTGCGGGGGATTAATAAAGTATTTGTGATTCTGATTCTGAAGTGTTTTGCTTATAAGTTGTTTGCATTTAGCTAAAGTGTGATGTTTTTCCTCATATTGCATTGCAATAGCCTGTTTAAAGTGATCATATAACAAACAACTAATCAGTACTGATACTGTATGCTAATAGATATAGGAGTGATAATAATACAGTACATGCTTTGAATTTCTTAGATATAGCTGTGCAGTATTCTTAACAGACTGGATAGCAGCAGACAATAGAAGGCTTATTACAACCAGAAGAGACATGAGACTTTTATTTTTTAGAGACTTGAGACTTGACTTGGACTCGTGACCAAAGACTTGAGACTTGATCAAGTCTCACCCCACAAAGACTTGAGACTTGACTTGGACTCGTGACCAAAGACTTGAGACTTGACTTGGACTTGCAAAAAAAGACTTGTGAACATCTCTGCCTTTGGAGGCATGATAGCTGCACATATATCCCAATAGTAGATCACAGATAGCTTTAATCTTAAACTGGGTCAAGTTTTAGTAAAATTAGAACAAAAAATAGCAGGATGTTAATGGATTTATTATGAAGTATCAGGACCACCTGTTAGATCTGTCTACTCTATAGGCTACATGCACAGTCACTTCCGCATTCTACTCATAGCGGCCGATTCATTTCCTGTTTGAAAATGACAACCTTCTACACCCGCTGCCTACAAGAGCTTCCGAAATTAAAAATGTCAGGTGTTCATCGGATTTGCCGGACGACTAAAGCCCCAGCCAGCAAACTCGATAAAGGCTTCAAATTATATGCTGCGTCATATATACACAACTATGAAGGTAAGAAGGTAACCGGTACTAACCAGCTAGCTATTGCTCCGGGTTACGCTAACATTAGCTGTCAAAAGCTAGGTAACGCCAGAGCCCTATAGTATAACTACTATTATTATTATTATTATACTACTACTATAGTAGACTACTATAGGGCTCTGGGTAACGCTATGTACTGTTTCTGGTGTTAATTCTTTAAAACATTAGCCATTTTGCTAACAAATACTATAGTTTAATAGCCTTATAGCCTAGCCAAGGTTATCTTGTTGTTAGCCACACTGCATAATGGTATCAGCTTTTGTAAAGCAATGTTGCCATAGATGTGTTGACGTGAGTATAGATCTAACGCTGTTGCTCTGTTTTTCTTCATTCAGTGTCCAATAAAGACAGGCTGACAGGGCAGGTCAGCGTGAGAGCCTTGTGCTACAGGTCAATGCGGAAGAGCGAGACAGCACACAGTTTGAGTGTAGGCAGGCAGCATTGACACTGTTCCCCCCTGTTTATTGAGTTTCAGTTCAGTTAAACATTAGTTTACCTTAAGGGAATCTCAACAGTGTCCTACTTCTCCCTGCTTTATCACAGCTGATTGGTCAGATATTATTACATTGATTATGGATGTGTAAGTTTGGGGGTTCAAATATATAGTAAAAACTGCTTTAATACAATTTTCAAGGCATCTTAGTTTCCAAAGAAAGTTCATTGTGGTATTGTAGGGTAAGAGGGTAACACTAAGCATTCAGGAATACATGCTTCTTCTAGGATAATGGGTCAGTAAAAATAACCAATAATTCTACTCATAATAACCTCCTGGCTCATAGTAACAAGTGAGGTTACTAATCACTAGTATTTCTTCTCTCTTTTTTAGATAACGCTTCGTGATTCATCACCAGTGGTGCTCACGCACAACCAGTGCTCCTGTGTTGCAGGAACTGTTTTGTGCAATCACACAGTAGCATTGCTGTTCCAAACAGCACACTACACTGAACTGAACATGCCAGTTGTGCCACCTGTGCATAACTGTACTGAATCGGAACAGCAATGGCACAAGCCGCGAACAATGGTAATTTCAATGAGGTTCAAATACTTGTAATCTTTCACAGAGTTTTTGTTTTAAAGTGACTCAACGAACAGTAATTGTCTTTTCCTTAAGGGTGTGAAGCCAGGGCCCATCAACTCCATGGTCTTCACCAAGCCTGTACCAAATAGGATGGTGCAGACTGGAGTAAGGTAATTTTAGCTGGAAAATTGTGTTTCCTGTGTTTTTAAAATTCATAATTCTGGTGCTGTATTCCTAACCTTTATTGTCACATTAATGTGCTATATTGTCTTTGCCATTCTTTGTAGGAGTGGATTCTACAGAGGCATGGTGGGGCCATTACCAGATCCCTGCCTGTTCAGAGTTACGGAGGCATACTCAGCATTCAGCATTGAAGACAGAACGCTTGTGACCACAATGAACATGAGACCTGACAAGCCCCTTGTGGAAAGTGCCTTCGGGATTGTGCAGGAGGGCAGTGTTCTGTCCTATCAGATGCCTGCTTTGACGTCTCGGTACACCACACTTCACACTGACACACCACCAACACCCCACTTGCCCATAGAGGGGTATGTGATCTTGCCATGTGATTTACCGCTGGTGTGCTCAGAAGAGGAGCAACAGCTTATCTGTTGATTTGGAAATGTCTCACAAAATTGAGGAGGCTACCCGTGAGCAAAGCTCTAGCTCAGAGTGGCATCTGCTCCGCAAACCCAGGGTTACTGCCTCTAGGTTTAGAGAGATTTGTCACGTCAGAGGTGAGAGCTCTGCTAATTCTCTTGCAGAGCGAATACTCAAAGGTACAAGGCAGACTGCAGAAATGAGGAGAGGTGCCGAGATGGAGCCCACAGTAGCAGCTGAATACAGTAGACTGGCAAACGTGAACTACTCCCCTTGTGGCCTTGTCATTCACCCCTCTACGCCCTGGTTTGGTGCCTCCCCTGATGGAGTTGTTTTTGACCCAACAGAATATCCCCTATTTGGCCTTGTTGAATTCAAATGTCCCAATGTCCCAAATTATGTCGACTGCAAATATGTGCAGATGGAATGTGGCTCCCCTAAGCTCAAGAAAAGCCATGCCTATTACTGGCAAGTACAGGGTCAACTTCTTGTATCTGGGATGCAGTGGTGTGATTTTGTAGTGTGGGCACAAGAGGACTACCTGGTGCAAAGAATATACACAGATCCAGAAGTGCAAAGAGCAATCAGAGAAAAAGTAGACTTTTTATTTTTTTACACATACATCCCGAAGTATCTGTCATTAAAAAAGTAGTGGGCACTGTAGCCATTGTTAACTCTGTAAGCAGTTAGCTGCTAGACCCTGGCTCAGCCGTCATTGTTTTTAGGAGGCAATCCCTCAATCATGTGTTCTGAATGACAACAAAATGTGATTTCAATATTTTGTTTTTGATATATATTGTTTGTCACATTTCATATATGTAAATAAATATACAATTGTATTTAAAAAGACAATAAAGTGAAGTGATTTGTGTAATGAATAGTAAATCAGTGCATTTGTAAGAAATCATCAACGCATTGTAATTTGCTATTTACCATTTATTCAAACAAAACACTAGCGTGTGTCAGGCAACACGGGATTACGGTGTGCTCACCCAGCTTAATCACAGCTACCTGCACAGGTGTCATCATCTTGTCTTATTTCACCCATTTCTTGACCAGTGCTTTGTTCTGATAGTTTGACAGCATACATGCTACTGCAAACAGTTGGTTGATGTTGTAGGCATGGGACAGGAGGATGACACCATCAAAAAGTTTGTTCTCTTTTATCCTCCTAATGACACGCTCCACATGAACCCTCAGTCTGCCAATGGCCTGTGTCTCCCTCACCTGATAGGCTGGCATTTGCTTCTGCTTTGACAGAAAAGGTGGGCAGTACACCTTGCATTTGCAGCAATCGCTGATCAGGAAGCCCTTATCTACCATCACTGCCATGTTTTCAGTCAACAATGCAGCTATTCCAGATTGTTTGAAAATCTCCTTGTCGCTGACAGAACCACCATACAGACTGGAAACAAATGTCACTGCGCCATGTGGGGCTATGCCAACCAGGGCTTTCATGGTGCAGTGAGATTTGTATGTAGAATACATTTCACTTTGGAGGAGGAGTGAGGATGGTGTTTGACACCTCAGCTCTGTGCAATCCAGGATCACCTGTGTGTCTGGGAAATCTTTGAATGCCTCTGGGAGGTGGGCTTGAACTTCTGCAGGTGTAAGCCAGATGCACTGTGACCCCAATAAAGTTGTAAGAAAACTCGTCCATGTTGCAATGATGCGGCTCACAGTGGACTGGTGTACGTTGAAGCGGTTTGCAAGGTCCCTCTCTTTCAAACCCACCGACAGGAAGCAGAGAAAAAGGAAGAACTCGTCAATTGGCTGAAGCAGCTGTCTCTGGAAGATAAACAAAAAAGGGTACTATATTAATGTCATGAGTGTAGCACACCATGGGAAAAACATTAAGTTGTTTTAGTTCTCTGATGTATTCAAAAAGGATTGAGTACTATAGCCTTTTAGCCTACACGAAAGCAATGAAATGTTGGAGAAACATTTTCCCTTCAGTTTGTGTTTAGATTGTGTGTTAAAAGAAACGTAGCCTACCGTTGATGGACGTGCGTGTGTAACCACTTCTTCATTCCTCTTGGCAGCTGATATCGCTCTTGTAACACGAACCATTTTATAAATGGAAGGCTCAATCAAAAACCAGAAGGCCATCAGGTGGTTATAGCTCGGGAATCTGCACACAAAAGACACATGTCAGTCATTAATTGACTCGTTAACTGTAACACATGGGCTAATGCTTTCCTCTTGTTTGCTATAATACATTACAATTCAAATAGACTGATTAAGAAGGCACTTGGTGCAGGTATAGTAATATACAGCAGTAACATGTAACAACTACATTAAAGCAGCAGTAATAATAATCTAAAACATACAGGGAACATTTTACACAGAATGACTACTTTTACTCTTCATTCTTAAGTGTGCAACTGGGAGAAACGCAGTGGATATTGACATGTACTTTTACTTTGGTAAGGTTTTGAAGATTTCCACTTGTAGTAAAGTATTATCAGTATGTTGTTAGTATTAGTATGTTTTACTCCACCACATTTAGTTAACCTTCATAGTTTCTAGTTACTTATGAAAACACATGATTTATGATTCTACATGTTCAGTTCAGGAGTATTTTCAAACCATAGTATTTGTACTTATACTTCAGTTAAGTTGAGTAGCCTACTTATTCCAACACTGCATGCAAATAGTCAGCAGTCAAACGGCAGGTAAACAGGATTCTTTATAAGCTAACCCATCTCAAAAACTGGGATAGAATTTAGCCAAAACATTACCTGGTATAGAATCAGATGTTGTCGTCTGAGCCAGCAAACCGCTGTAAGCAAAACTCTCGCTGGACTCTTAACTCCTGCAGTTGCTTCTGCAGATCCTCCAATGTTTTGGAGTTGTCTTCTGTAGCTTGAGAGGACATGTCCAGTGAAGCTGGTTCAGGGGTTGAGCAGTAATCATGGTCACGGACATCGATGTGCTCTTCCTGCTCCTCCCGAGAGACTGGTTCAGTGGGCCGCTCCCTTCTCTCCCAAACACTAGCCCGCGGTGTTTGAGCAGTGAAGTGATTCCACTCAAACAGAGTTGGGACAGCACCTTTCACAAGCCTCCTACGGCCATCAAGGGTTTTTGGCTCTATTAGTTGATCCGTAGCGAAGTGACGACTGCAGACCTTGGAGTGAGAGGAGATTGTAAAGTTATCGCGTCGTATTTTAACCAGCCACTGTCTTCGCAGCTCGAGTTCGGTCGGAAAGCCATGGAAACTTAGGACGCCGTTGAATTTAGCTAACGCCGTACAAAGTGGGACACAGCAGTGCTCGGAGTAGTTCTTTACTTGTCTTTGCAAATGCTCCGTTTTGAAACTCTTCCGTCGACTCATATGTAAACCACAGATTTAAACAGTAAAACATTTGTGGACGCTCAGCTACGCAGACCAGAAGCAACCCGGAAGCGTCCGAGCAGTATAACGGCTAAGGCGGAAGTACGTCTCAGACCCTAGTGCATGTAGCCTATTAAACGCCCCTAGCGGTCTCCCTTCTTTGCTGCTTTTGTGGCAGACTACAGCGCCACTTACAGGCCTGGCATATGTACTACAGCGTCTCCAGCGCTTTCGAGCGGTCTCTCATTCCCCTGATAGGTGGAGATTTGCACATATAGGTGGAGCACCCCTTTTCTGACGTCAGAGAAATTCAAACCTGTATCAGCTCCGTTGCAGCCCCGTTTTTAGAGATTTGGGTATGGAGTAAAAGAGAGAGGGTTGTGTTTTCTGACACTTGGTGAGTTCCCTGACACACCGGGGACACATAACTATGTATAAAAGACGTACAAAAGTGCATTTTGCATGATAGGTCCCCTTTAAGTATACTTTGCTAATACTTAAATATCATTACATAGGCAACATTTTCAATGCAGGACTTTTACTTGTAATGCAGTATTTTAAAATGGTTCTAATGTAAATATGAATTAAATGAATCCTTCTTCCAGGACTTTATATTAGAGTTGTCTTTCTAAACAACCAATAATGCTTAACTTCATTGCATAAAGGACAGCAAGAATACATTTTGAATAGGGTCGGGACTTTAACGCGTTAATTAAGATTAATTAATTACACAAAAATTAACGCGTTAAAAAAATTAACGCATTTTAATCGCACTTATTTTTGCACCGCGGAACGTTTCTCACTAGATGAGTTTCAGGCGTACCGATTATACTGGAGCACCAACTAACGTTCATGACTTCAGACAACAACAAACCACAGTGAACAACAGTGGGAAATGTTGTTTTAAAAAACGGACGGATGGAAGCGTCGATAAGAGCACGGTTGTGTGCAAATTATGCAAAAAGGAATTTGCATATCACCGCAGCACATCAAGCCTCAAGTATCACCTCAATGCAAAACATATAGCAGCTAGCGTGGAAGCTAGCGTGGACGTTAGCCTCTTTTATCGCGTTCACACCAAAAAGAGCCGGTACTAAAATTAGTTCATGAGAACCTTTTACCCCCACGAAAGTCCCTGCTAGAGAGCAGAGAGCTGCTAGAGAGCAGGGACTTTCGTACGGCTCTCTTGTGAGAAAAGAGCTATATTTCTGATTGGCTGGGCGGATTGCAAACCACGCCCCGTAAAACTCCCAAAAAGTTTGTGAAGCCGCCATTTTATTATCCTCGCATTAGCATTATTACATTACATTACATTGCATTTAGCTGACGCTTTTATCCAAAGCGACTTACAATAAGTGCGTTCGTCCAACAAAATACAACTTGAAGAAAACAGAATCATATAAGTACATCAGGTTTCATAGAGAAAAAACATTTCAAGTGCTACTCAACTGGCTTTAGAAAAGCCAGTCCTTTATTAGTATAAAAGTGCTTCGTTAATAGTTCTATCGCTCGAAGTGGAGTCGAAAGAGATGAGTTTTCAGTTTGCGCCGGAAGATGTGCAAGCTATCTGCCGTCCTGATGTCAATGGGGAGCTCATTCCACCATCCTGGAGCCAGGACAGCAAACCCACGTGTTTTCGCCGTTGGGAACTTGGGTCCCCCTCGCAGCGAGGGTGCAGCGA